GGGACCATTCCCTGGAGAAGGATGTCATGCTTGGTAGGGTGGAGGGTTGACGAAAGAGGGGGAGGCCTTCAACGAGATGGATTGATATGGTGGCTGCGATGATGGGATCAAGTATAGCAGGGATTGTGGGGCTGGCACGGGATCGGGCAGTGTTTCGTTCTGCTGTGCATGGGGTCGCTATGAGTCGGAAAAGACTCGACGGCACTTAACAACAACAACAACAACAACTAAGAGGAAGAATAATAATTAAGATGGCTTTATGTCAACAGAGAATTTAGCTATCGATCAAACTGTTTTTTGGCTAGGTACTGTGAAATTAAAAATAAATTTAAGACATACTCTCTCAACACACTTATAATTTAGTTAGCTTCCTGAGGGAAGTGGACTGGTAAGCAAAGCAGTATTATGTATCAGAGTTGTGTGGTGCAAATTGTGGAATATTTTTTAAGCAAATATTTGAGGGCTTGTGTTGTGTCAGGCACTATTTTGTGTACTTTTTTCATTCATCAAATAGGCTACTATGAGAGTGGGAATCAGAAGACCCAAAAATGATTGCTCTTGTGGAAGTATGGTAGTTATGTTTGTGTGTCATCTTGTCTGGGCAGCTGGTGGTAGTTATTCCCCATGATGAGACTGGCAATCAGCTCCATGGTGGGATCTACCACAAGCAGCTGAGTAGCCTTTGGGATGTGGTCTGCTTCCTGTATATAAGCCTTGGGAATGGTCTCTAGCCTATGGCACTCTTGGACCCTGCAAGTAGCTGTGTCGTTGCTCAGCAGCCTGCTATGCTCTGACGACCTTGGGACTTAAAATGGACTTAAGTTAATGGCCTGCCATGTGGTTTGGTAACATCACGACTGTGCCTTTTTACTTGTCAACCTTGAGGCTTCTCAGCTTCAGCAGCCAGTCTGAGTTAAGAAATGCCTCTAGTTTCTGTGGGCCGGGAGCAAGAGGCAGAGCTGGTTGAAGGGCTTTCACCCAGCCCCTAGAGCTTGGCACTTTGAACTCGGACTTTAAACCTCCAAATTGTAAGAATAAACTCCTGTTTGTTAAGGCCATCCCGTTTGTGGTATATATTATCATCAGAGTGGCACTAGGTAACCAGAACAGGCAGGTAGGTGGGAAGAGAGAAATACGTCAATAGCACAGTACAGAGTATGCTGTGCTAGAAATAAGAGCTCACAGTCTAAAGTGCAGCTCCCCTCCCTAAGGCTGGCCTTCTCCAGGGAGAATCCCATGCTTTGAACCGTCCTTTCATAAGGTTCCTTTCCCAGTCCCTTGAGGCTTTAATATTTGCTGGCTATCCTAATGCCCTGTTTCATTCTTAGAGGAACTTGCTGTTCATAATGCCTATTTTTAAGGGGTTGGCTGATACTGAAGCCTAAGGCAGGCTGCACAGATGCCTGTTCGGCACCAACTAGTGCCAGCCCTCGGGGCCGTGGAAGTGGGCCACTTACAACCCAACTGTCACACCTGAGGTGGCTCCACCTGTACTGTGTTTAGCTCACTAACAACCTGTTTCTTAATCTATAAAATAAGTCTGAGATTAAACGTAATAATGTCATCAAAACCTTTACATATCACCTGAAAAATAGTGGCAAATTTTTATCTCCAACATATATAATCTCATATAAAATTAGAGCCAATTTCCCAAATTTGCCCAATTCAGCTTTCCCTCGCTTGCGGTGTTAATTTCCGCCCCCAGGTGACACTGCTGGTCTCTAATGGTTGAAGGGGAGCTCTGGTAGCATAGTGGCTAAAGCACTTGCCCGCTAACCAGAAGGCTGGTGGTTCAAACCC